ATACCAGCAACAGTGGGGAAATGAAAATGAATTATTGAGCAAAGATTGTCCGGCCATTCGACATTGCCATTCGCTATTCGCCATTCCCTCATTATCGGAATCCATGGCAACAATTCGCTATTTGTCGCCCATTTCTGAGGGATGTGTCTGACTTAGTTCGTGTGCCCTTCCTTGGCTCTCAGATTTTTTCAATCAAAATTTCAAAGCCAACTTAAGCTGAGCGGGATTTGGTGAATGTGTTTGCCAATGGCTGTCCTCTGCGGAGATCCTTGGGCGCTTTTGGGTCCCTGAATTGGGTAACCAAGAATCGCGAACCATCGTCTGTTTGTCAGTTTGGCTGTTTGTGTGTGCTTTGTCTTATTTTCATTTCGCCCTGCTGGTTTTTATTTGTTGTCTGTTATCTATTTGTGTTTACTTTCCCTTCGCCATAAGGCGACAATCGCTCCCATCATCATCACCATCATCATCATCATTGGCATCTCGACATCACCATTTTGGTTCCTTGGGTGCGTGGTAATCCAAGGATGATGATACTCCCTAAACTCCCCAAAAACTAAACTAAATCAAAACCGAAATCGAATCGAATTTATTGTCATCTCCATTTTGCGCCTCAGATTATGCCACAGATTCCGTCTTCGGGTTTCAATTTCGGTGTGAACTTTCGCTCTTGGGTTCACAGCAACTTGGAGTTGTTTTTCTCCATTTCAATGCTCAGTAGTTTTGGATTCTAAGGGAATGTTTTGTTGATAGAGAGGAAAAAAGAAAGGTTTCTGATGTTAAAGGTTAGGAAATAAAAGCAATTATCTCTGGAAAATGTACTAAGGTCTGAAAGGGAACCTTGATCTAACTTATCATTTTAAAAGTCATTTGATTTCTTGGAAAATCTTTATAATCATATAAACCCTTTACAGTTGCTAACATACTAAGTCCTGGGTATCTGAAAGTCGAGTAGGGCTCTCATTTTTGGCTGGGGATGATGGTTACGCTTCGCCTGAAGCTACAGGTTATGATGATTGCTGCTGCTCTGTGTTTTGTCCTCTGTGCTTTGGCATTTTGTCTGCGTTTTGTCGCCGCTTCGCCCCCGCAATTTCTGCTGATTGTTGTGTTTTGAAGCAGCTGCAATCAAAAATACATCATTGGTGGAGCAGCCCAGTCCACCGTTGTTTTGGCTCTCGATTTAGTGGCAAACTGATGCTGACATGGCGGCTTACCCCAAAGGACTTCACTTTCTCTAACAATTAGTTGGGGTGAAAGTTAAGTTGCATGTTGCATGCGATTGGGAAAATTAAATTTCCACCTAATTGTTCGAGAGGAGGAGGCTTTCATGCGTCTGGCAGGTGGAAGAGTAGGAGTTTGGGGTTTACCCATTTACCATTTTCCCAAGCTCCTCTGACAGCCCCGAGAAAGCCAAGTGTGCGAGAGGGTGGCATGTAGAAGCCGCGACTCAACTGCCATCTAGTTGGTTTTCCCGGCTTGGCTTTCCTGCAACTGGCGGCGTTGCTCCGAATGCCCAGACAGAATCGCTGCAGTTGACAGCGGCTACGTGCGGCTTTTGCAACATCCCATTTCCATACACCTCCTATCTACCCAACCACCCACTATTTCACGACCCCCTCGACGACCACCCGGATTGCGTGTGTGTGGGCATTGCATTGATTTTATGGGCTTGCCCATCATCACAACTTTTTGTTGCGTCTTCTGATTGCGGCTTACAATGCATCAGATGCAATCATTTTGTTGCCTGTCTGGCTGCGGTTTTCCGCTGTGGCCACCACAGCCAACAAATACGTCATCCAGGAAAATCCAGTAAATGTATTAACAAGCGTTCATATTTGATTGTTTTCCAAGAAATATTTTAGATCTGGTAATATAATGTTACCTTAGCCTTTAATTTGATTTAAAGAGAATTTTTCAATACATTCGTATATTCTTCTATCATAGCTCCGGGGGAATTCAAAGTAAAACATAAAATAGCAGCTTAAATACAAATCGCTTATTGCTCAGTTCAAGGCGATTTCAAATACAAATAATTTCAGAAATTGTAATATATATCCCTTTTTTGTCGATTTTATTGCTTTACCTGTAAACAAATTCAACAAATTAAGTTGTCAATGTCCCAGTTTCATTGTTTTTTGCTGTTTCCTTCTTTTTTACCCCACATATTCGACTCGATTTGTGACGAAAAAATGGGAAATGGAAAATGGAAAATACAAAATAATAGAAGAACAAAGAAGGGCAAATTTGTTTTTGATAGAAAGTCATGTCAAAAACAATGTCCCAACTATTGTGTGTCATCCTTTTTTTGTGGAGGGTGCAGAGTGAAGAGAGAGAGAGAAGGGCGAAGGGGCTGGGGCACTTGAAAATTGCGCCACAGACCCGTTGAGTTCGAGTTGACCCTCATCAAAAGCTAACTAAAAACTTTTCGTTTTACTTTAGTTTTTATTCCGATTCTTCCTCCTCCTATCGCTGCCCCGCATATAGATATATATCTCTACGGTACTATATGTCCGGGTATCTCCGTGTGTGTATGATTTTGTTGTTTTTGTCTCTTGGCCAAAGTGGAAAATAAATGGTTCCACAGGATGACCATTTGCGTGGTGTGCAGGTACAGTTGAGGGTAAAAAATTATATCAAATATTTAAGTTCTTTTTGAAAATATTACAATTTAGAAGTAATCTCAGTTAACTTCAATATTATTTCTAAAATAACCACCTCTGCTTCTTCTATAATTTAGAAAAAAAATTTATATAAAAGGCTGCTAGACCCTTGACCACTGCTGCATATGTCGTTTGTTCGTATAAGCGTCTCCTCTACCGTGTATGGTCAAAAAGTTGAAAGCCGAGCGTCACTTTTTGCACAATCCGAAACAACAACAACAACATCTGTGGCCAAAACAAAAGTCAAAAGGAAAGTCCAAACAGAAAATCCAATAGAAATTTAAACAGTTTGACGCATTAAATACTCATTGGGCAAGTTGCCGACTTGGATTTTGGCACTAGGGTGGCTTTTAGGTTGGTTTTTAAAAGGGATTGGGTGCTATACCCCAAAACCCTCTAACGACTGGGTTGAATTTGTGACATTCTATATGAAGAAAGTTATGGTTTTATGTTGGACCCAGTCACGTCTGTAGGTTTTGCAATATTTGACTAAACAACTTAATTGCAGCAGAATTTAGGGACTTTTTTGAGGTTTTCAAGTAAGTAAGAACTATTTCTAATTAAAAGTTTTATGAATGCTCTTCAGAATTCAAACATAAATAATAAATTCAACTAGAAATTCTGTCTCTTAGATAAATATTTATACATTTATTAAGAATCTTCGTTTCAGCTATATAATTTAATCTCTTTTTCTTTCCGTTGTTCCATCGTGACTTTGTGAGCCACTCCATTGCCCCAAATAAGACGCACAAATCTGTTGAGTGTCAAGAGGCTCAGTGGGTTAAGCCTCCATCTCTGAAATCCATATTTAATTATGGAATTGCAGACCTTCGGCCACTTCTCAGGGCTGTTAACCCCTTACCTGACTGCCTAGACTTAATTAGGATTCCGTGCTCATCCCGATGATAGTCATGGTCATCATAATCATCGGAGCTCTGTGTTTTGGGCAGACGGTGTCAGAAGTGCCACTTCATCAGTCAGTATCGAGGCTGCCAAAGCACCACAGCCGCCGGCAGATGTCCGCGCCAACTGTTTTCCAACTTCCCGCCAGTCGCTACACTTTAAGAAATATATTGGTATTCTTCGTTAGCCTTGACTATAGAAATTGAAAATCGAATAGATATCGAATAGATGTTTTGATTAATAAAGGTATAATCCACTTTTGTGGATAATATTATTGAAAACAATTAATAAGAACGAGTTGCTTTTTTTGAATTTTGATTAATTTTTAGTTGGACTTCTTGGTGCAACCCTTTGTTTGTAGTGCAGTTCATTGAAGTGGTTCCTAGTGATGGGGACCGGTCGGTTATGTTTCTGGGATTGCGGGCGTAACCGGGAGTTTGTGTGTGTTTTGGGGCTACTCCCCTTTGTTTGCACTCCCGACTGACGAGGGCCCAAAGGCGTTTCGCAGATTTCATCGGACGTGTGAGTGTGAGTCTGTGTGTGGTTTTTGGTGGATTTACTCGAGGGGCATCTGCTCGGCTTAGCGCTAAAATGTGTGTCTACCTGGGCCACACATGCATACACACCTGTCATATTCTGGTAGCCAGGGATATGTGTGTGTGCTGCTGATGGAATTTTAATTAAATACTCGGGTGTCTATGTTAATTTATATGCGCATATGCTTAGCCAGCCAGTCTGGTCCTGAGCCTGGGCCTGGGCAATTCCATTTTCCGTTTTCTGTTTTCCACATTGATATGACGAGGACTCACCTTTGAAGTGGCTGCGCATGTTTGTGATTAAGAGCTTTTTGGGGCCCTCGCGCCCTGCTCCTTAACTCAGTTTCATTGTTTAAAATTTAATTATAATTTAATGCTTAGTAAGCACTATTTCTCGCATGAAACTCTTCGTTTGGCCACCCTTTTCTGGTTGCTGCGGTTTTCCTTTATACCCAGGCCACTTGATATTATCACGTCGCCATTCGTCTGACTGACTGCCTCACCCACTCTTCACTTCAGGACCTTTGGCTTTGTCTGTGGCTCTCTTTTCGATTTCCCTCAAGTTCTTTGGTTTCGTCAGGCCTTTGTCTGCCTTTTGGCCCCGTCACCTGGCTCCATTTTCCGAGATGAAACCCAAAACGACTTGATATGGAAATAATTCGTAGCGTGGGCTTGGCTTTCTGGAATTTGCGTCGGCAACAGATTGGCATTTTCACATAATGCTGGCTTAACTAATTGTGGTTGAAAGGAATGCGGCTTAAATTGTTGCATTCGGGCTGAAATATTTTGGATACTTAGTCCGCTTCTTGGGAAAAATATTTAAAAGCTCAAAAGAAATGAAAATAAATTATGATATAAAAATAGGTAAATTCAAAAGCAAAGGATTTAAACTCTTTTTAATAATTTTATTATTTATTTTAAAAAATATATTGACATGCCATCAATCATTTCGTAATATTTCTCTTCTATCTACAATTGGTTTAAGCCTACACTCTCAACATTTATATTCTTTTGCTTCTCATTCATTTTCGTCCTTGTGAAGATTCATCTTGGCCAGATTTGCCCTGCTGATGGCATGTCCTGGTTGCAGTTCCAAGGCTTTGTGATATCTTTCCGTTGCTTCCTTACGGAGGCCACGCATCTGTAGGATGGCTCCCAGGTTGGCATGGGCATGGGCCGCCATTGGTTGCAGGGTGACAGCCTTTCGGTACCACAGTTCAGCTTCCGCCAGGCGGTTAAGCAGACGGAGTGCATCCGCCACACAGGATTGCAGGGTGTAGTCATTGGGTGCCAAAGCAGCGGCTCGCAAGCGAAGGGTAAGTGCTTCATGATGGCGCTCCTGCTGCTCCAGGAAGTCAGCTGGAATAGTAATTACATATGGATACATATGGGAAACCCCATAAGGAAAGATTATGGCTTTTTTTGTTCTTACCATAATGGTGATGAGAACTGGCCTCCAGAGGTGCCAGCTGCAGGGCTCTCTTGAACCAGGACTCTGCCTCAGCAAGGCGACTGCCCTGTAAGTTCAATAAAATATTATAACATTATTATTATTAAGATTGCTTTTCATCCACTCACATTTCTGGCCAGTGTCTGACCATAGGTGACATAGGCCGCTCCCTGCTCCGGTTGAAATTGCATGGCCAATCTCTGTTGATGTTCAGCCTCATCCCAATCTTCCATCTCCGCAAGGATTTCCCCGAGACGCAAGTGCAGCACTGCCCTCTCCTTTTGAGGCAGCACAGTCAGTGCTTTTAGGGATTCCCTTAGCATCGATGCAGCTTCCTGAAGTCTTCCCTCGGAGCGGTGAAGGACACTCAGTTGCAGGTAGCAGGTGTAGCGGGCCTTCTCGTGGGCCCCTCGATCCCGAACGCCATTCCCCTCCAGACGGGCTCCAGTACGCAGCACAGAGATGGCTTCTCGACGATGGTCGCCCAGGGAGATCAGAGATGTGCCCAGATTCAAATAGGCCACTGCCAGTTGGGGACGCAAGCTGATAGCCCGGCGAAAGCTTGGAACAGCTGAACTGAAGTTGAGTTGCTTTTGGTGTACCACGCCCCTAAAAGTTGGCGGCAAAGAGAACGGAAATTAATTTTATAAACTTTAAACCTTTTCGAATTTTTTTAGGTATTTTAAATAGGGATTCCTTCTCAAATTGCTTTTATGATAAAAACAGAAGAGGTTTTAGGTTTTTAATATGATTTTTATAGACGAATAACTTTATATACAATATATATAAATATAAAAAAAATCCAAAATATTTGGAAGAGTTAAAAATCAGACGTTCGCCCTAGGCTCTTTAAATTCCTTTTGCAGCCAAACAATGCACTTGAACTTCCAAGGAAATGCACTTTTAGGAGAACTCTTCACAGTATTTTCCCTTCACTCCTCCTGAGTGAATCATAGAAAAAAATTGTTAAAAAATATGCGAAATGGAAAAGAGAAAACCAGAGAAAGTAAAGTTACTTAACTCGAGGGCTGCAGCCTGCAAAAGTGTTGGCAGTAAATTAACTTGGTGTTTGCTTTGCTGTGGTTTCCACGGACTAATTGCAGAATGCTGACCTTCAAGTTGATTTTGGTCGGCTTCATTAAATCAACGAACGGCTCTGCTCTCTGAAACAGTCAGCAGCTGAATCTCCGCCATCTCGGTATATATTATATTTGCCTAGCCCTCATACGTATGTCCTGACTATATCCATACGTATATCACTTGTCGTCTGGTGGTTATCTATACGCCCGGATGTCTGGGTCCCCTCAGTCCCCATATAAACAACACAAAGTTTCGCCGGATCGGATGCATGGTTAAGTGATTCTAAATAAAGGCAGCATTCCAGAAGAATGTAACTTTACAAAACAGTGCAAAATAAACCCGAACTCAGATTGCTTCTGCAAACCAGACACATCTGCAGCAGCTACAAAATAATTCAAACAAAACAGCGCGCTCTAAAATTTGTGTTGAGTAGCGACAAGGCTATAAAATCAACAAGAGGGACGCTTGAAAAGATGGTGGATTTTGGCCAAAACCTGCTTACATATGAGCTACAATAATAGGTATCCATGAGGAAAAATCTAAATAAATATTTCAGTTTCTTTAATAATGCTAAAATACCTTCTGCAATTTTAGCAAAAAACGTAATGAAAAATATAAGAAGAGTACTCTTCGTAGTAGTCCAATTTGTCTATTGAAGCAAATATGGAACCCTTTTTATGAAAACACAAGCTAACATCGCCATCCTGAGATGACTTTTAATATACAAACATTTTCCATAAGCTACCCTATTTTGAGTCAAAAAATTTGCATACCAAAACCCTTGGACTCAACGATTAGCTTTTCCACCAGTCACTAGACTCTGGAGTGGGTGTCAGCAAACTTTTCAATAAACACTCGCATATGCCGCCGCATGCAGAGCTGAATTTGTTTAAATTTTTTTTTCGAATGAGCAGCCATTCGACATTCCATGTTGAAAATCCCTCGTTGCCCACAATTTCATTCCCGATTTTTTCCTCCACATTTGTATGCTACAGTTGGGGGATGCAATACCAAAAAAAAAAAAAAAAAAAGGAAAAGTGTATATAGGGGAGGAAATAAAACAACCAAAAAATGGAGCCAAGTGAATGCATGCGAATTGCAACCGAACAACGCATGGATTTGCTCAACTGAATATTGAGTATTCTATTTTATACTATTCCATTCGGTCCAAAAGAAAAACAAGCCATGTTGTTCTATTTATTTTGATGTTTTTCCTTTTCTATTTTTTTTTGGTTTTTCTTTGTTCAGGTAAGCAAACAGCAACTGAACGAAAATAAAACGAGCAGAAAGAGTGAAAACGAGAAATCGAATTATACAGCTCAGTGATTTTTTGGTTTTGGTGTTTGGCTGCCTGTTACTTTGACTTCCCACCTCCATTACTACCACCACTAGCATCACAACCAACCATCCACCCACCACTCAACTTATCCTTTGCTGTGGCATTTTGCAGCTAAAAATCAGAGCAGCCTCACTCGGCACAGGAGCACAACAAATCCCTGACAGTTGACTGGCGCAGCAGAAACAGGAGCGGCAAGGAGCAACAGGATCCATCGTCGGATGGATGCTTTATGTTCCGGGAGGTGGCACGTGGCGGGATCTCAAAATCCGTAGCCACAGGGCGCAAGGTGCCGGCTAGAGATATCCCGGCTATTGATGGCTTACGAGTAAATAATGTACAAACAGCTGCTTATCCACGACGCACTGGCACCCCGGTAGCTCCGGGGCTGGGTGGTTTAAGGTGGCTGGCTAACGGGGCTGAAGGGCACCTGGCATTGATTTTCGATTAGAAAACGGAATATTCTGACACTCCCACCAAGCCATCAAAATTTCACAGCTTGGCAAGCTCTTAAAGCTTTCATAATGTAAATGCTTCAATCTCCTCTTTTGACTTTTGGATTAGTTAGTGCACACTCTGGGAAAATTACGGCGCTATGGCTCTAAAACTCTTTAATACTAGAAGGAAATAACACTTTAGATATTGAAGAAAAGAACCTAGGTCTTATAATATATATAAGATCCCCAAATTAGTTTACTTTCAAAGGTTAAACATTTCATAATTTTAATAACTATGATAAAATTGCTCTATTCGGAACTGTTATTACATTATCTAAGTTCGATTTTCAATTTTGCATAGTGTAACGAAGAGGGAGGCCATGGAAAAGAGGCTGCTTGAGCTGCATTCTGCAAGTGGACGAGGCAAAAATTCAATCAGACAACTTTTCGATAAGCTGCAAAGGCAACGCAGGCTTTTGGAGCGGGAAAGTGAGCGAGAAAAGCGTTTTAAACTTTCACGGTACTAAAATGAAAATCTCGGCCTTCCCTTGGCTTCCCGCCACTTTGGACTTGGTCAGAGGGCAATGTGCCAGCGGCTAGGGATCCGGACTGGGATCCAAAGCCATTCACCCACTGAGTCGAGTCGGCCAACGTCTCGTGTATCGTTTTGAGCCAAGTTAATAACCTGCAGGCTAGCGAAGCCTTAGCAGTTATGAAGTTCGCGCTTTGCTTTTATGTCATTGACATTATTTGAAATTTTATCTAAGCCGTCAACAGTTGTATTTTCTTTCTTCTCCTTTCTTGGCTTTTTCATATTTTTACAACGGACTTTCTAGAGGATTATAAAGGATATTGCGGTTGGGCTGGGTATTCTGCCGCGAGAGATGGTTACCCAATTAGAAGGGATAAGTAAATGGACTTTATCTAGTAATAAATGAGCTTATGGAATGCCTAATAATATCTAAATTGTTTGAGTAATTTTCAGTATAGATAAATGGCTGTATAAGCTCATAAAGAGGTTTAAGTAGAAATCGAATGAAATTTAAATAAATTGCCAAAAACCAATTTATTTAGCATGACTTTCTTTTTAAAAATATTTATGGTTTAATTTCAGCCAGCAGTTTCCCTTTTTGCTATGTTTACTTTGTAAATATAGTTATTGAGTTTTATAATCCTTATTCATTTGTTATTAGAATTTTGAGTTGGCCATAAAAAAAACACATTTCTTGTTAAAAATAATCGTCAATATGAGCATTAATGTAACAGTCTACCATAAGCCGATAATCCGCTCATATATAAAAACATCCACACAAATAAGCAGTTTAAAGGGGCTTTTTCGGAGCCACAACGAGTAAAACAAAACGCTCTGGTTAAATATTTATTTAAATGAGGAAAAACGTAATATCTGCATATTGGGCTTCCATGGAAACAAAGCGCTTAATACACTCACGGGGTTAAATGCTTCACTGCAGTGAGCGTTTTCCCCTTCTGAGTTTACCATAGTTTTAGCATTCACTTTTCCGGAACAAAGGCAATTCGGCGGAGAACGATTACGGCATTCATGAATGAGGTAGAAGATTTCGTTCCCCAGATGCTGCCATTGTCCGTGGCTCTCGGGAGTTCTCAGCAATTATTTGTATTGGGGCTTGGGCTCCGCTACTCAGCAGCATTTTCCCTTGGCGAGAAAGCTGGAAAAATGACTTGGCAAGCGAGCGAAAGGGGATTTACCTACAATTTGCCAAAGAAGCAAAGCGAAAGGATTTATTCCGTGCGTCTTTTGCTCTCCTTTTTTGGAGCGTAAAGACTATTATGTCAAACACAATAATCAACAACAAGCGGCAAGGCGACAGCAGCAGCAGCAGCAGCAGCAGCAGTAACAATAGTGACAACAGAGCGTATGAGGAACGGCTGCTAGCAAGTCCCTGCAAGGACATGCGGCGAATAAGAGTGTGAGGAGCTCGAGGAGTGGCCGGCAGTGGAAATGACGTCCTGCATATTCAAAAGGAGTGGAACTGTCAACAGTGGTTGATATTGGTGAAAATCAGAAAGGAATATTATAGAAAGAATGCACTTTAAAGTTATTACAAACAGAGACCAGCTCTACTCTTGAGCTCTTCTATAATTGTTTGTGAAATAAGATTGGTCAACACTGTTCACATCATTGATGGTCATATTAATTGAAATCTCCATTATGACATATATTTTTTGACAAGCATTTCCGCTTTTCTGCCCAGGGTGCCCCATTCGATGGGGTGTCGAGTGCTATTCGTTAAGCGTTGGCATGTTTGCGCTTCCCTCGTAATGCATAGTACTCCATCCCCCCCCCAAGCTGCTGCCCAAATCCCAGGAGAAAATGGGGTTTCCGACGAGGAGGAGAATGAAGAAGTCTGGGCCCTGGGTTCTCAGTTGGCGGTCGCCGTTAGCGTCGATGCAACGAGTAAATTGCACTATGACTATCCAAAGCTGGCTCCGAGTGTGCCTGCTATATGTCCAACGGAGAAGTGTCATTGGCCCCGGAAAATGGAGAAATGTGGGGTGGGGGGAAAGCCTGGGAAATGCGGGGGATAAGCAGGATGCCAACGTCATGCGTCAGCAGTTTTATTTTCTCATATTGTTGCATCAAGTGCGGCTTGTAAGCAGAAATGCCAATTTCTCCTTTGTTGCTACAATTTTTCCATTCCCGTTCCCATACAATCCCATTGCAATCGCAGATATATTATTGTTGTTATGCTTGTGTAGGATATTACATACTATATGTAGTATGTCTGGGCTTTTGTTTATTTATTGTGTTAGACAAGCGAAATGGCTTCGAAATCCAGAAGAATGCAATTGTCACAGCTGCTGCTTTATTGCATTGATGTACGTGATCGACTTTGGAGGGTAAAGATCTCAGGAGAAATATATTATATGAATCTTAGCTTTACTATTTAAGCAGTTTTGATTATCTAAAACTTTCAACCAACAACCCACAACTCTTAAACATCATTTTCACTGCAAACATTGCCATAAGTCCAATCTTAACTTTCTCGGCAACCATTTAAATGGAGCATGTGCCTCAAATCCAAATTACAACTTCATGTGTACTTAGCAGTCGGGCAGCAATACCAGAGTATCTCGGAGAATCTGAGTTTCACTCGAAAACCCATTCAGTTTTGGCCTAATTAACAGCATATCTGCAGGGGATTAGGGTGCGCAATGGTTCTTGCATTCATTTCAGTGGTATTGTTTCAAAGGTTCCGTTGCCGTTGCCCCTTACAAAGGTACAAAAGGGGTACAACAGGAACAACAACAAAAAGAAAGGGTAAGGGTAAACCAGGGGGCGCGGCTTTAGGCGGTGGGGGCTAGGGTGGAGAGTAAAAAACTGAAACCAGCAGCTATTTGCTGTTGATGGCTGCCGAGTGCATGCAAATTGCCATCCAAAAGATGCAAAACATGTGCCCTCTGCGCTGGAGCTAAAGTTTCTGACCGAGTTGATTTGTATGCGCGATGCATCTGGGCAGTCTTCGCCAGCCAACTACCAAAACCACCACCCATTTCCTCTTTTTTTGTCGCTTTTTCTCAGATGTTGTCCGAACGTTTTTGCTGGCAAACGGAAGAGGAAACAGAGCAGCGACTACAGAAGCATCTGCCATTCGGCATTAAGAGCAGCTACCTAATCCACCCACATCTGCACCTCAACAGCGCCGAACCGCCGCTGGACCACCCAATGCCCAAGGTCGCGACAGCCATTCACTTTGAGCTTTTGAATTTTGAAAAAGACTGCCAGCAAAAACTGACATCATTCTGTGGACTCAGGTTTCATGTTGTGCGGCTAAGGCGCGAGTTTCGCTTCAAATTGCAAAGGGTTTTCGGTGGCCACCACATGGTCGGTAACGTTTACTCACAGATTAAAGTGAGCATCAGCCATGGTGGGCCGATGTCCTAGGGCCATCCTCAGAGCGAGTTCCGCCTCCTCATATCTTCCTTGGGCGCTTAATACACTGCCTAGGTTGCCCAGAGCTGGAAAATAAGGAAAATATAATTTCTTAAAGCTTTTCACGTATTTTTAAGTTTTTATCTAAAATTAAATATAAACATAGAAATACTATTAGTTCCAAAAACAAATAAGGATAACACAATAATGAGGCACTCACCTTTTGGTGGATTAATATTAATGGCACTGCGGAAAAGCTGCTCCTCATCTTCGCCAATCCAAGTTGCGTCTGTAGGTGCGCAATCCATGAACTCCAAGAAGCAGCCCCATTCCGCAGAGGAGCATTATCCTGGCTGGCCTGGAGCTATTGACCATCTGCCAGAGACTGCCAAAGCCAAGTCCAAAGAGCAGGCAATAGCCCACAGTCGGCAGATAGAGTACTCTCTCGGCCATTACAAATCCCACGTAGAAGAGCAGATTGCTAGCGGGCAGGAATGGCAACACCAGGAAGGCAATGCCCAAGATATGAGCTGGCCATGAGGCGCTTTTCGAGGAGGAGGAGGTGGATGATGTTGAACGATAGCTAGGAGCGGATATTTGATGGTGGCAATCGCAGGTGAGGCCCAGCCAAGTGTGGCAACTATTGCCACCCAATCGACTCAAAAGCGGAAGGGAAATGTTCGCCACCTCTGCAAAGTCCATCGATGAGACTGAGCGTCGGAATCCAAAGCTCTTCCACAGTACAGCTAGCAAGGATCCGTAGAAACCAACACTATGGACATTTCGGACATCCCAAAGCGTTCTAATCCGAGGCACGGCCTCCATTCCCCAATCGAAGCTTAGATCCTGCGGCCAGAAGAAGCAGTCGAAAGTTGGCCACCGGCAGGTACATGAATGTGAGAGTCCTCGTCCAGAAACAAGATTCATGGGCGGTTGGATTGTCGGCAGCCGAAAAGGCAGTGGTGGGGCGTGGCAAAAGGCACAATCTACAGTAGAGGGCACACAACAAGGTAAATCCCAAAACGGTAAGCGATCGGATGCGGTGCTGTAAGATGAATATAGTTGATCAAAATTAGTTAGTTATAACCTTAAAATGTTTTCCAGGTTTCTTTATATTTTTTGAAACTAAGAATAACCTTTTTAAAGGATCCGCTTCTCACCTTATCACTACTTTCCCGTCCAACTGCAGATATAATGTCGCACAGCCCGCACAGGAACAGCGCCGTGATGGCCGTTTCCTTGCAGAGAAGTGCTGCCAGCGCAAGGATAATGGTGAGAATCAGGGATCTCCACTCTCGATTCAGCATGTGCCGGCGATAAGAGAGGTAGGCGAACAGGTAGCATACACAGGCAGCCAAATCTGCTCTGCCCACCAACCCGGCAACGGCCTCCGTGTGGGCGGGATGGGCGGCGAAAAGAGCACCGGCGGCCAAGACTCCAATCCAAGAAGGCAGAAGTGTTCGACCCCACCAGGAACACCAGCAATGTGGCCATACAGTGTAGTATTACGTTGACCAGGTGATAGCCCATGGGTGAGATTCCGCTTGCCAGGAAATTCAGCCGGAAGCTGAGCACGCTCAGCGGTCGCCAGGAGCCGTGGGATCCACTGTCCACCATGGGAGTACCCCAAAAGTCGTTACGCAGAAGATGAGCCAGTGGATGAGCTCCCGTCACGTCTCCATTGGTCAAGATGGCTCGTCTGCAAAGAAGATTTACCGAGAAATCATAAAGATTTATGTTGATGCACTGGAAAATAAACTTTTCTTTTAGAAAAGATATAGCTAAAAGGGATAATAAATCCAATTTTTCAAAAACCAATTTTTTATTTTGTAATAATTAGGTAGTTTTTAATGTTAATTTAATTTAATCGGTGGTTGTTTCTTGGTATGTGCATGTTGTCGGTGGCCACGGCTCACATATCTTCGGTTGAGAACGGGCAAGAGCAACCTGTGGCACACCTGTCCAATTAATTAAAATGATTAATTGTCCAGCCAGGACCGGGTCCATCTCTTAATTTCTCACACCTCCTATCTGCCTGTTCCCCAAAGTGGCCGTATCTCCTCAACTTGACTCCTTTCGTCTCGGCTTTCCTGCTACACGAAATCGGAGAGTCCTGAATTCTGTGGGACCACTTGTGTCTGCGCCTCTTGTCCTATTTATTTTGCTTTTACTAAGATTGGCTGGAACTTTGGGGAAAGGGTATGTTGGCTATGTAATGGGTTAGGTCCTAGCAGGTATAGAATCTATTTGGAATGTATCCTTCCTGCTTAAATAAAACAGATTAATTTTAAAACATAAACCAATAGAAGAACTGAAAATCTAGGTTAGGGTAATTAAAAGTCGGTTATATCTTTGCCTAGCAATTTCATGTCTGTCCATTTTTATTCCTTTTGTCCTTTTGTTTTTGCACTTGGCATAAATATTGTTAAAGTGCCAAGCGACAGTTGACTCGCCTGTCCCGCCCCTTTTGTAGCTGCTGCCGCCCCTCGTCCTTGCTGTGCACTTGCGGCTTGATTAATTGCCGATTTGTTGGCGTATTTTGTGCCTTTGTTGTAAAACAGCACACACCGATATATACACACCCATACACTCGTACAGTATATACACCTATATCTGTGTACAAACAGCACCGGTGTCATTGTGTAGTGGACGTGGTGGACGGAGTGGACGGGTCCTTGGTAATTGCCTCGCCGTTGTAGCGCTCCTTGTTGTCCTAATCGATTTGGCCGGCACAGTGGCTCCGGGTCAGGTAGCCATATAATCAGGGTTAGTTTGTTATCGGCGTTGTTGCTGCCGTTTTGTGGAAAATTTATAGAGGGCTTGCAATAATACCTTGGCCATTTTATGCATAATTAGTTTTTAGATGTACCCAGTAAATGTCATTAATTAACTTTCCAACTTCACAAGGGCCTTTGAGCGGAGTTTTCATGGCAATTTCGTCCCAAACAGTATTGCATCAATATATCTATCAATGTCAACTGGTTCGATGACTTGAATAACTTTAAGTTTGAATTAATTGCAAAAGGTGAATGTATTTCTTAATTAATTACAACTATAAAGCTTAAATGTTGAACAAAATAACGAAAGTTCCTGGGAATTCATTTTTAATTTCAGCAAAACAGCTTTAGGTATTTTATATTTTTCATAAATATTTCCTTGTATTTACATTAAATATTTGCCTGACCTCTCCATTCATTTGTTTATTAAAATTCATTTGATTGCGCTCACTTAAATTCACATTTAAATACAAAGGAATCAGCATCGCTTTATTTCTAAATGGTAAATTTAATTTCGGCTTGTTAAATAATCAAGTTATGTGCAGAGATATTTATTTTAGCTTTTTTCTGCCTCTGGCTGTAGTTTTAGGGTCTTTTGGGGTATACAAAAGTTCAAAGGTTGTGCCAACAAATACATATCCGCCGAGGCCTGGAGGCGACTGTGGCAGATGGAGATGGAAAAAGTCCAAAGAAAAGTCATGTGCAAACACATAAGTTAGAAAGCATTTTGAATAAAAATTCGGTTTTCAATTTAATATTTTATTTATCATTCGAATTTGAATGCCGTGGAATGGGTGACCGGAAATATGAATTGTGGCAAGGTTTATTGGACGTGGTGTGTGTGAGTGTGTGTTAGTGTGCAGTTCTTTCAATGCCGGAATATGGTAATAAAAAGGATGTGGTGGCGCAGGAAGGTGGTGCCACAAATTGGGTTTACAAATTCGCCGGAGAGACGTGCCCAACTATAAAGCAGACTTATTGCCAAGGACCTGCGTCGGTGGCGCCTTTTCTGGTGAGTGGTTTTCGGGTGTGGTACCCCACTCATCTACACTTCAATTTCAATTGGCATTCCGAAGTCCCCAGCTCTCCGGCTCTGCAGCTCCCCTGGCATCCACCCATTCGATCCCTTTTAGTTTGCGCCAAAGAAGCCACAAAAATGTCGTCGAGAGCAAACAAATTCTTATCGGAAGAGCACAAAGTGAAAGCACAGAACGCAGATGAAGGAGCAGCTAAGTTGGAGAGTACTCACACGGTATGCACAGTTGGGGGTATAATTATATAGTAGTCTATCTGGAAATCGCGGCCTTTAAATATAGCATATTTCCCTTATTGTCAGATAGATAATTTAATATTTATTTATATATTTTACAATCTTTAGTTTCATTTTAGCAGTTTCTAAATTAGGAAGCCTAAAAGTGTAATATCAATCTTGTGAGAGTTGCTGTAATGGGAATGCGCCCGTGGGTAACTTCTGGGTAATGCGTCTATTTCAGGCTGTAAGCGTTTCTCAGCTTCCCGTGGCACATAAACGAACCGAAAATTGTTCTACGCCTCATTTGCAAGAAAGTGCCATGTCAAAAGCGAAGGTAACGTTCGAATATTGAAAAGAAATTTCATTGCATACCTCGAGGCGGATGCACACAAAGTCGTCTATTTGCGGGTATTACAAGTATGGGAGGTGGGCTTAATTCCCAACCCCAACCAACAGGGTCGAAGTCACTTCGAAGTCAGCGTCAACATTATCGTCATCAGCAGAATTTCCGCAGTTCCCTTTTTTGTGCTTTATCATCGTAACTAGTGAATGAATAGCAATAGCAGAGCCAACAACCAAAACATCAACACCCACCGACAGCGGAGGTAGCAACAGCAAGTGGTAGGGGAACGTTGTAAGGGCGGGCAGGAGCAACAACAACAATTGAAGGCTTCAAGCAGCTTACAAGTGCGGCATGTTGCTGCCGTTATCGTTCGCTTTTCACTCTCAACTCGAGCAGGAGGCCAGAGACAGGATCAGGATCCAGGAGAGGAGAAAGAGGAGCGTGGGACAGAGTCTCAGGCAATCGAGGAGGAACAGCCAGCCATAACACACACGGTGCACAGTGGAAACGATGGGTTCCCTTTTCGTATAACAATTATTCCTAATGCAGAAATGTACATGGAATTTATAAAAAATATTTAAATAGTCGGTTATTTTTTTCAGCTCTCTTAAATTTTTCGAAAAATGATTTTTGAGTTTATAAATTAACATTCTCTTCCATTTCCATTCCACTGTGCGGCTCACATCAGCCACACACAAAGGCAGGGACAGCCAAACAGGACTGTGGTTGGCTTTTGTTGAAGACAATATATCATAGCATCAGCACCGAATGTGGACACCATTCTTGCCTTCCGTCCTGTGCCTTCCCTCCATTTCCCTCTCCCATTCCCCTGGCTACCCACAACATTTGTATTTGTTGCCGCTGCCGTTGTGCTTATGTAAAGTGAAAATTTTCGATTTTATATAGGTACAAGAAAAAAAAGAGCACAACATTCTGTTACTCTTGCTTGCAAAGAACCACCCACCCAACCACTCCATTCAACGTTTGTGAAGAGTGCCTAGCGTCCGGTGGTTGTGTGCCATCAAAATTACGTATACGTAACGTTGTTACTGCTGTTGTTGATTTTTACAGCCGGTGTTGCTGTTGTTGTCGCTGTCCTTTTAATACGGCACATAAATTATTGTAAGACTGCAGATTGGGGGATGTTTGGCAAGGTTTCTTTTTTATTTTTTTATTTTTTGGGCAAAATGGAAATATATCAAAGTGAGGTGTGAATCGGGTGACCAGTAAAAGCAAGGCTATTAAAGGTGCAAAATTCTTTTAGAAAAGTTTAAGTGCAAATATATTTTATAGATATCTTTACAAGTAATAGAGTAATGCTACCACCAATAACACTTAATTTTATCCCATTAGTTTAATGATTGCCAAACTTTTTCGAGCATTACACTTTATCAAAAAGTTGCCCAGCATAACTTATTAAAATCACATATCTCTCTTTAACAATTGCCAGCAGCAGCTGAGTTTCTCTTACGCCAAAAGACTTTCTTTCTCTCCACCGAGCCAAGCCATTGGTCTTTTTCCAGTTGATAGGAAACAAATTGAAGGGAATTCTGCCATTTAATAAATCATGTTTTGTCTGGCCCGGCTTGACAATAATAACTTGTGCTCGTGTGGTCACAGTGGCCATGTTGTGGGATGACCGCAGAGCATACCAAAGAACCAGGCGATAGGTAGGCCAGGCACTGAGAAAAATTTTCCGTATTGTTTTTTTAAATTACCTTTCAGATAGTAAACCTCAGAATGTCCCACTTTTGCTGAAGGAAAGTGATAGCTCGGATATATTTTTAAATACTACTACTTATGTTTTTTAAGATCATTTATTTTAGAAAATATTTCTTTCTCTGCTTGGTAACAAGGACCAACTGGTGTTGGCAACTGCGTGAAAGTGACCGCAGGACCTTCCCTTCGAGCAAAAAACATAAACTCGCATACAACTTTCCGTGTGGCAAAAAGGGGAAGCTGAGTTACATAAGTTGCGTTTATTATTTGTCCGAATGTGTGCGTGTGTTTGTGTGGCGGTAAGTTTTGCGCTTGTTTTCTGGACAGCACAAAATAACGAGCTACAGCTAAGGCATCGAGCTGAGCACTTTGTGCATAACTTGCCCGGCCCATTCTCATTCCCATTCTCCTATAGCCTCCATCTCCTCCAGGACAATTGTTCGCTGGCATTGTAGTTGAACCAGGAGCAGCAAAAGAGGAGTCACTTGTTTGCCGGAATGGTCAGAAAGCTCACCGGGTTGACTCCTGAATCCAGAGCTAGACTCTTGTAAGAGGGGAATGGGGTGGAACTGGGTGAGTCCTTGGGGAAATTCCTGTCCATTGTACATGACTTTTGATATTTATGGGTAATTTCGTTTGCGTTTGCAGCATTTCAATGCGGCCAGGTGAGTGCGAGAAGGAAAGAGACCAAGTCCCAGCTCAGGGGCATAAATCAACATTTTGTTTTTTAATTTGCTCCATCGCCGTCGCCGTCACCGTCGCCTTCTGATTCTGACAATGGCCCTGGATCTGGATCTCCCGCATATATATCAACAATACCCAGGCGATAAGCCAGCAACTGGTCTGCTTCAAGTTTTACAATTAGGCGGGCCGGGAATTTATGATGGTGATTTTATCAAATAAATGGCGGCACTTGGCGCACAATTAATAATAAACTTTTGTATTTTTCGGTTGCCTTTTTGGCGACAAAACGTAGCTCTTGGCCATCAGCAGAATGGAGCGGAAAAGCCGAAAGGAAGAGCAGACACCCAAACCAAAGCAGATCCAAACCAGACCATTTACCTTCGTCAACCTGCTGACATATGGAATTTTTAATTCGGTTAAATTTTTCTCACCTGTCATCGTAGACAAATCCAGCGTTAAGTGTGTTTAGGTACAGGACAAAAGCGAGTGCCGAGCAGCCGGCAAGTCCTGCGTAGTCCTTCTGCGAAAGAGCCGGCGACATGCTGCAAGAGAAAGAGAAAGCGGGACAGTGAGACTGTGAGAGAGTCAGACAGACAGACAGAATATAAATATAAAAGTCGAGTGTCATAAAATATATGCTGAAATTCATTCTCGAAGCCTCCTCTTGCAGTAACGGCAAGAACAAAGCACTTAATCCTGACTGAGGCAGGTCCTCCGACTCGTCCAGATGGGCCATTTTCCATTCTCTGCGGCATTTTCGTTATGACAACATTTACATATTTTCCTTTTTTATCCTGCTGATGTTGTTGCCGTTGCTGATGGCCTTAAGCACGATTTAATTACTTAATTTTTTTTTTTTTTGGAAATTCAAGGTGAACTCCGGTGGCGTGCAAGGAATTTTTCAAAATGTGTAAATTCATTCAAAAGGGAATTTTCGAGTTTTAATTATTCGGACAGGAATTTAAGAAACTTATGTTTGCTTTTCAAAAGGGGTACGCGTATAAAAGAAATGTTTTCATAAAAATACTTAAAGATTGCAATACTTTTTCTAATGCCAGAACATTCTCTTCTGTTTTAAGATAATGGTAACAGTTTATTAAGAAGTAATTACCCTTATAGGTTAACCTTAACCCCAAAAACGCATCTACATTCGGCCATTGAACCCCTGGACAATCAGCAATCAAAACTGTTGAATACAAACAAACCCCAACGCACGTGCCTAATGATTATTGCCGCAGTGGAGCAAAATGTCCGGAATGGAATGGAATAGCTTCGGCTGGACAAATGTCGCCATCATCGTTCTCATCATCATTGTTGTAGTTTCGACTGTAGTTGTCATTGCGGTCGGCGTGTCTGTTCTGGCTGAACTCGTTTGTCATGGCATTCTTCCTTTTATATTAGCCGCAGACATGTTGTGTCTACGTGGAACCCATCTATAGATGCCCCGCGCCAGAACCCCTTTTGAACCGCCAACGCCACGTTGACGGAAATTAAATGTTACGACGACATTCTGGATCGTCCTGCCAAGCGAAACACGGAACATGCAATACGGGAATACAAGCTCTGAAATGCAGAATACGGAAACGGCAACGGCAATGGCAATGGCAATGGCAATGGCATTCCCATTGTAATACTCTCCATCCCGGAATCCCGATCCGGCGCATCTGCATCTCTTCGCCTCCCCATCATCGGCTTTTTGGTGGTGTTGGCCATGGCGGTGTTGTTGTCATCATCACCATCAGCGTCATTACGAATAATGAGTGTGGTCAGTGGGTAGATGGGTGGATATTCGGACCGACTCCGGCGGCTCCTGAACAGTCATGCCTTGGTCAGGGCACGAAAATTGTTATCTCGCACATTGCAGACGATTTCCGGCAGGCATTTTGCCCCACGTATGTACACTGCGACTGCGAGTGCGACTCTGATCCAGATTCGGATTCAGATTCAGATTCAGCAGGAGGCGGTGGGATAACAGGAATTAAGTTCGCACTGTTTGCAAATGACAATGGCCCCTACAACGGCGGACTGCACTGATATAAATGGGCGCCCTAATTTATGACAATAAACGAATAATCTTTTAGTAAAACTTTCTAAAAATGTATAAATTCTAAACATTTATAAATGCCTAAGTCGTACAGTCATAAAGTATATCAATTTACGTAAAAGATTTATGGTTTGGAAAGCTTTTTCCCTCAGTGACGTATTTCCCCGTCAGTGCATCGCGGCGATTTTGTGTGCTTTTCCTGTCCGTAGCTTCGGATTTTCCTCAGCTGCAGCACCTGGGCATATCTTCTTCTGGTCCAAGTGAACACTTGTTCATACCCAATTTGTGGTTGTTTTCATTTAGCTTAACCTTAATTAAGTGAATATTTTCTAAGCAGGCCAGTATTACAAGCTATAATCCCAATACTGAGGTTACCAAAGTTCTCCACTTGAATTAACAAATAGCCAAGATAGTCATGATATCATCTTTCTGTTCACTCATGCCCCCAAGTTCCGAGAACCAAATTAGCTTACATTCAATAATCTTTTAGAGCCCAGCCCCCGTTTTGCTATAGCCAATGTTGATGGATTTTCAGCCCCCAAAAACCCACACATCAACACTTAAGGGCAACTCACCCGCCCACATCCTTTGAAGGGGCCACCAGGACTCCACTTTTGGCTTCGCAATGACGCTGCTAATGAGCTCTAATAACGATAATGACGCCCACGCAAATAGTGAATATGAATACACAAGCTCGTATATGGGATACGTTTATATACACATCTATGGAAGGGTCGGATGAATGACCGTCATTTGCCGGGGTTTGTCATGGGCACCCTGGCCCAAGGGATGCAACTGATTGGCATTGTCGAGGATGAAAGCGATAGCTTGCCGGAATATGCCTCTTAAATATAATGATTTCCCCAAAAATGCCAAAGTGATTTCCGATGAAAATAGCTGAATGTCTATGCAGAGTCATCAGTATTGGTATTTATGGAAGCAGTATATAGTGGCCTTAAGAAGGTAAAATTAAGCAGACAAATATTTGTTGTGGATTACCAGTTTGGCCTAAACAGTTTTTAGATAATTCTTAAGCTCAGTAATTGCCAAGACTACATCATAAAATGTAATATAACCCCACAAATATTTGAACATCAACTTGAGTTTGCCTTTAAGATCCTTAAATGTTTACATTTTGGGTATACAATTTATAACAACCAATTATGACCTAATATTGCCATTATTTTTATCATTAGCATTAATCTGATCATTTCCGCACTTTATATATTAACTCTTGTTTGCTATTTTAAAGATTCTTCAAACCTAAACAATCAAATACCCACTACATAATCCAACCACAAAAGAACAAATTAATTGAATCAATTTAAACATAATTCAAATCGAATTAAACATATATCCGCTACACAGGCATCGGGGCTCTAATGGCATCCTTTAAGTCCCGTAATTCCATCCCGATACTTTAAATAGCCGCTTTAATTAAATTTATTGATTTTTGCATTTTAAGCTTTGAATTTGTTGTCCCTGCAGACAGCGCTCCGGGCTGTGTCGGTCCCTTTCGAAGTTTCGCGGCAAACTTAACCCTGACACAGGCGCCGCCAGGTGTTGGCCAAAAGTTGGAAACAAAGCGCAGACAGAACCTCCTCAAGCAGTCCAATTAATTTCGATTGTCGAAAATAAAGCGAGACAATCACAGGACGACGAGCGGCAAGTATATATTAATCAAATGGCGCCAAAGACGAGGACAGCCGGAAAAGCGAGGAAAGGCGAGGAATAGCGAGCAAAACGAGGACATCGAGCACCCTTCAGACGTGTCCTGTCTGCTGACATGAAGAGGCCTCAAGGTCCTGACGAAAGGCTCCTCAGCTGGCGTCGTGAATTACTTTGCTAATTTTCCTGCGTCAGACGCGAGCCATCTGTCCTTGTAGCTACCATGGACTACGTATCGTTACGATCTATTTTTACTCGCTACTTGTAGAATGCATGAATTTATTGCACTTTTTGTAACATTTTAATAAAAATGTATCTGAGTAAGTTTCTCAATCCTGTTTAAAATACCAATTCGCAAGTATAATATATTCGTATTTCATATTGCCATGAATTCTCAACCTTATAGGGTATCTAGGATATCACATAGTTGAGACTCTTGCCTTCTGGCTTTGTATACTCGTAAGGACGCGCTCGAAAAGTCAAAGTGCAATTAGCAGACTGCTCCCTACTGTCGCTGGCTCCTTTTTATTTATCAGTGCAAATATTTATTTTCAATTTCGTATGCAAATGTCGCAGTCGAGCTTCCTCCATTAATCACAGCTGCACAGTCGGCGGTGCTGAGAGTGGGTGGAATGGAAAAAATAATTAGGTTGTCATGTTTACGGCGCTGAAATTAGCTGGCAGTATCGGAATGGCACATCTTTGATGTTGATCTCGCGCAAGGAAAAAGAATTTGCGGAGGCGGAAATTTCCATGACTTTTCACTTTTCCCTACGTTCGTTTTTTTTTTTTAGCTTTTTAAGCTGAAGAGCTGACCTTATTTCTGGCCCAACTGGGGACAGACGGAAATTGCAGCAAATACAAGAGTGAGGGTACAAGCGCAGCACACCTTAAACCGGAATCGGAAACATTATTCCCAAAATGTCAAAAAACATAACAGAAACCCATTAGACACACTTTGTTTCTGGGTCAGCCGGCAGACTTCCAACTTCCAAAAAGTGAAAACCCAGGCAGGGAAAAAGTCGAAACTGTCTGAAGGGGAGAAGCTGAAACAAAACGAGTTGGATGGTTGAGCGGATGTACGGAAACTGACCAGGCCACTCTGTCCCGCTTTCTCTCTCTCTCTGTGAGTGTGTGTGTGTGTCTAAAAACCCGGGTCGCACGGAAATCAAGTTGTGTCAACAGCTTAAAAGCCAAAATGTAATAAGCCAGGGAAATGTAATGTAATAAAATATCAAATATAAAATGGCGATGGTCCTGGCGGGGGAGCATTTGTTGCCATTAAAGTTTTACTTTGAAATTGGAAGCAGAGGACCTTGGGAGGCGGGTGGAAGAGGCGACTTCGCAACCAGCTGAGCATAAACAACGAAAGAAAGACCAAGAGCTGGACTTTTAGGATTGCACAGAATTCAGATACCCTAATTTTCAAGCTAAAGAACATAACATGAGTAAATAATAATACATTTTTTCTTATTTTCAGATTTTAAATACAAATGAACTCAAATCGATTTAAAAAGTGTCTACCACTAGGTACACCTATCTAAGAATCAGAGTTTTTCTTTGAAATACATAAATAAAACCGCTAAAAACGATTAAAATCTCTGCCAGAGCTGTGTAATAAATAATATTGTGGTAAGCTTAAGGCCAAAGTAAATATGCTCGTGCCAAGTGCTATAAAACGGATTGCTTGCCTTGCCTTGGATTTTGTGTAGCCGCAAAATATGCAATATTTTATTATTGTTGCCCCGAACAGTATGCAACACTTTATTTCAGCGCTATGCGCTTCCGTTTCAGCTTGGATTTCCTTTCACCCCATCGTCCTGCCCCTCAAAGGACCTGGCTTTCGCCAGATCTGGAACAGTTCCAAGCCTTGACTCCTTGGTGTTTGCACTTGTTTGAGTGCCAAAAAGTATGCTAGATAGTTTTTGCATGCGATTTGAATGAGCACAAACGGAAATCGCGCTGTGTTGGAAATTTTTGGTGTTTTTTTGTGGATATAGAAGCACATGAGTGCCACTCGAAATCATTTTAAAACACTCGAAAGCTGTTTTCCGTTGAGAATTATTTCATCTTGATAGTTTTCTTTGGCCAACTTTATTATGGAACATGATGTTTAGCTACACTGTAGAAATGTATGGGGATTTTAAAAAGGATTTTTAAGTTGATTTTCAATGAATTTCCAATTTTCTCAGTTAGGGTATTTATAGGGTTCTTTATACTATCCTATATAAAGCGAAAACTTTTTCGAATTGATATGCCACGTAATTGAGTCCACAAACGGAAGTTCCGCGTCGTTCTGGAATCCTCCCATCAATGGGACATTGAACTAAACAACAAATAAATGTTTGTAAACTTTTCTCACCAGGTATTGTATTATTCTGCGAGTTGCTTTACTTTTTAACAACGAATAAAGAGTTCAATCAACCCTTTGAAAGTTGGGCTGAACAAAAAGTTGTGAATAGCCCGACTCTGTTGCCCACTCAGACTTTTTAATGACCATTCCAGCAGAACTTTCATCGAATGCCTTGCCCGAAATTCAAATTAAAGGCTGGGAATCAATCCAAAGGGGCGGAACACTTGGGGCTGGCGTTAATTTTATGTCTTGCAGCATGTTGCACGCAATGTAAATGCTAATTAGGACCGGGATATGTCTGCAGCTGGGGAGGTATTTGCTTCTTAATTGCGTAAACCAACCGTTTGATTGGTATTTGCTCAGCAATTGACATTAAACAGTTGAATCAATAAAAAATTCAAACGGAAGTCCCACAACAACGGCAATCAAGTGCGAGTTTCGGCAAATATTTAATGTGTTTTGGGTTCGAAGTGTGAGACCTTTGTTTTAACCCCCAGCCTAATGACTAACTAAACAAGCTGTTGTTCTTCCCCATTCTGCCCCGATATTAAAACAACAATATTATTATTAGCACAAACAGAAAACGGTCATCGGCCTACCCCCAATTGAAGAAGTCAAGAAACCTCAATTAGGCTGTCAATCAACACATCGAATGGAGTCAAGTCGCCTCGTTTCGCCCGTCGACATTCCGCCAAATAATAGAGCTATTGATTTTCGACCCCCTTTAATGACGCTCATGGTCCGTGGGCGTTTTCTGGCATGCCCCTGGCAGTCCTTGATCGCCTAATTAGCAGCCGTCCGCGGAATGGTTTGCCCTTGATTGCCTCTACTCCGGATTCCAGAAAAAGCTAAGTTTGGAAAATAATGCAAATATTATTTATCTCTATCCATATTCTAAGTATTTTTTGAGCAATTTAATAATAAAACTGACTTGTTAATTTAAAATGCAAAAATGATGTCTCTTTGATTTTAAAAATGTCTTAAGATTTGTCCAAATAGCAAATGAAACAGTATTTTTATCACATTTTTCAAGAATTTATGATACTTTCTTTGAATATTTATGAAGACGATTTTTTTCTTTCAAATATTACTGGTCCGAAGTTATCTGTAGAGTATGGCCAAGTTGGTTAAAGCAATATAAAACTTTTAAGCTCTCAGCTTGCAGATAATTCCCCCTTCAAGTTTAAAGCTCCAATCAGACTTTTAATATTTTTCGGAAAAACAAATAAATAAACTCGTGAGATATCTTGAGAATAAGCTTATCCATTTGTTTACGTCTGCTAATTGCCGGAGGAAAACCACTCGAGCCGGTGGACTCAAAGTGGCGAGAAGTCGAATGGAAACTCATTCGGTGAGTGCGGGGACTTTTCGCTAGTTGATAAACGAGCGGAACTGCAAGGGACTGTCAAATCTGAGCCTTTGTTCGATTTAATTATCGGTTGTACAAAGAGCTGGGCGGGGGAATTCTGGCCAGGCTTTGGGGGCATATCCTTGTTGAATGTGGCATGTGGAAGGGATGTAACAAAAAACCAATAATGAAAGTGGAGTTGCACTGCCGGCGATGTCAGTAACATGCAGCTTCCCCTATCCTTGCCCAAACTATCCCCCGCCCTCTGGCAAAGAACTTACTCCCTTTTATCGATTAGCGCTTGTAGCAGCTTTTACCTATGGGAATGTGTATGCACTCAGAGAAAAAATTGTTTAAAATTTGAGCAATATACGGTAAGATACCGTAACAACAAGCAATATCTTTTTATAAGTTTAAAACTTGATCAAGAAGAAGAACAAATTAATTTCCTTTAACATTTACAATTACACTTTAATTCTTTGAGTGCACTTACAGTGTACACAAACATACATGTTACTAAAACTGCTGTTGCCGATGACCCTTCACCCCCTACTTTAGGGTTAGTAAAGAGGGGGCGGGATCAAGGGGAGGCAGCTACCAGAGCAAATGACGCTGCAAATGAAAGCAGGAAACGTTGCCGCATTCATTCATTTTACACACAAAAGCCATTAACCGCTTTGATTCCATTGTTTTGTTTGTCATCATCATCATCAACAGCACAAGCAGCAGCGCCAACAGCAACATCACTTCCAAGCCCCCCTTTCCGGTAAAAATTCCCCCGCACTCTCCTCCACATTTTCAATTCCCCATACCCGCCAAGAGGTCATGGGTCACTGGCGGACAAGGGTATGAGGCGAAGTCAAGGCTGTGATTTACACGATTTGCCATTTGATTTTTAATGGACTCGGTGTCATAGAACCTGCCAGTAAATCCGAGGAAAGTGACTTTACTTTAATTGAAGAAATAAATGCAGTCATTAAAGAAAAATTGCTGTATTTAAAGAGATATAAAAAAGTCCTTTATTTGTATTTAATTTCTCAAAAACATTAAGAGTGGCTTTTAAAATGACCAAATATTATCATTAGTCAGTAGTTCATTTGTCATGAATTTCATCCTCCAATCAAGCGTAACTCAATCAATCTTTAAATTTATATTTATTATTTCTTTGGGCCTTTATCTTCTCACCTATGACCCGAGGATATGTGCTGGTGGGTGAGTCTTTAACCGAGCACTTTCTCCCATTTGCCATTGTTGTCCCTCTTGCGCCCCAATATTATTATTATTGAAAGACTTTTGCTGAGCTGCGGGTTTTATAAAGTGCCTGCGGCATGGCTTCCGTTCCGTTCCGTTCTGTTCAGACCCCTAGACCATCATCATCGACCGCGGACTACGCCGTGGACCCCGTAGACCGTCTCCGTCCGTCCGGTGCTGGCAAAAAACGACTCTTGCGGAAAAATCAACATTGCACAAAAGTTTTCAACGCTCTTCGTACCGCCAATCTCCAGCGCCACCCACTAACACCACCCACTTACACCCGCTAACACCGACCACCCCACGGCCCCGCCATCATCATCGTTCATTTCGCTCCCTTTGCATTGCTTTTTTGTTTTGGCTTAGCGTTGATGATGTATGCACTTTGAAAAGAGTTGAGCAAAGTGGTTTTTCGGGTTTGATGAGCTAACGTCAAGTCCTTCAGTCCCCTAGTCCCGACCCGCCCACCATTCCGCCTCCTATTCCGGCTGAGAAATATGAGTTCGTGTGGGTGTTTGATTTCCTCGTGTCTGTGTGTTTGAACTGCACTGCTGCGCATAAAGTTATTAATGGACTTCAATGGGGTTTCAATTATGCAATTTCTGCGATTTGAATTTGAATGATATTTTGATTGTTTGCTTGCGATTGTTAGAGGATTCCCAAATCTGATGCATAGAAATGCATTGTTTTAATTTAATCGAAGAGCTAATGGCCTTACTGTAGGACTCAGTCAAGCGTCAATTAATAGACAAATAACTTTGGAAATTAAAGTGGCTAGAAATGAAGGAGACAATGAGTAAACTGTAAAGTTTCGGATATTTTAGCATTATTGTAAATGATTAATTCATCGGAAAGAATCTATTCTTTGCCTTTAAATAAGCTAACAGCCTTGAAAATACTACATCTAAATCCAGGGCTGCATTATCAGTGATTAATCAATGTAGAGCTTACTATTAAAAAGATCTGGTCACTCTCTATATCTAAGTCAACTTTCAGGCAATTTAATTTACAATTCCTTTTACAAATTACCCGAATCAGTAATGAATTGGGTGAAGTACGTGACAGTGATAGGTAAATCTATAAATCTTTAATAATGCCTATTGATCAACAGGAATCAGCTTAAGCGGTTAATGCCACGGCAAAAAATCACTTCAAAGAGGGCACGCGTGGTGGAGCCAAAAGGACAGGAAACTCCCTTTATAGATTTAAAACTGATATATACGGATGAAAATCTAGCTGATTTAAATGAATCGGCCTCAAATGAGGAATCTCCAAAAACCGAATTGGAAACAAGCCCTGGAAAATCCTTGGCAATCGATTCTCCAAGTACGCCCACGGAGGAAGAGATATTCAACATATACGAAGATGTTTCCAAGCTGTGGGACATCGAGCGATATCTAAACATAGTCTACAAGTAAGTCCGAAAGAGAGTAATAAAAATATAGTGTCTGAAACGATAATATTTTTATAGGCCCTTCTATTGCATGGGTTGCACCTCATACTACTTCAATCTCCATGAACTGGATCTCGTCATGGAGAACGCCAGATTCGAACCAGATAGACATCTGGCTGTGTTTCTCACTCGCACTTCTCCATTCTGCACTGTGAAGATATATCCCAATGGTAACATATATTGCCAGTCCTTCAACCGCGACGGCGCCCGAGAAGGTCTGTCCAAGGTGCTTCAAGAGTTGCGAAATCTGGGCTACTACCCGCGTGTTCAGCTGTACAAGTACAGTGTGGTTAACGCCACTTTCAGTGTGCCCTTTCATCTAAATCTAAGGAAGTTTCACTGGCAAAACCCAGGTATTACTGAATATGATCCCAAAAAGCTGCCCTTTCTGATGTACAAGATGGTGGGAACTTTGGTCAATATAGCTATTTTTCCCACGGGCTACGTGTACGTGATGTTCGCCAGCTCTCGGTCACTCATCAAGCTTGCCATTGCTCATATTTTGCCCATCTTGTATCGTATAAAGAGTCCTTTTGAGGAACAAAGCCAACTAAACCTAAGCAGCGGCGATATCAACTACAAAGTGCTTTGGGAGAAATATTTCCAGGACGGGAATTACGCAGTTGAACTGAAATAAAGGATACTATCTAGCTTTAAGGACTGTTTTGAGATTTCCAAAAATTAAACTTTAATTGTTCGCTCTGGAAAAGTTTATCGCTTTACTCACGCATGAGCTTAAATGGGCCCATAAATGTCGGAAAACTGCCCGAAGGAGACTTTTATGCCAGCTTTAAATTGGGTTCAAAAGTTTGCCTTAAAATTAAACCTGCTCTCCACTCCACAAGTCATTGTCTTTATCTGGATTTTCACACAAGAGAAGTCAGTCGAAATCACATGGAAATTTACAATGTAGATTTTCAGTGGCACTCCACGTGGAAATCGAATGTTTGCAGTGCCCAACCACCTGGGGGATATGGTTATAGTGGTGCCTGTGGTGGTGGTGGGACACCCACTAGCATAATAAAAATGACAGCGAGCATGACAAAACCGAACGAAATCGAATCGGTAGCGAAAATGTGTCAAATGGAATTCGAAACCGATGGCTCCGTCATTCCTGGCACCACCCCATCAATCCGCCACCAAACTCCTGACCAGGTGGCTTCGATTTGTGCTGCTGGCCGACATGAAAAACAATTCAGTGTCATATTTGTGTGCTCGCCTTTCGTGTTTGTTTTGTAAACGCAGCTCATCGGAATTGCCTCCGTGGGTTAGGTCCTGGTATGGCTGGTGTCCTGGCTTTTGTCCTGTAACGTGCGGATAATTTGCAGACTTTTTCGTTTGTCATTCCGGCCGCATGGCGTGCACACAGCCGAGTAACTTCTCTGTTTGCATTTGAATATTGGACAATGATGCTGTCCTCCGCCTGCGGTCCTTTGGGTAACTCATTAGTGCAATCACATTTCACATTTTCTGATTGATGGCAACTGGTAGTTTATCGCAAATACGGCTTAAACGGAAAATCAAAGTTAAAAAATGGTAATATTACAGCTGTAATTAGTTTTTAACTAGAGTTCCATAAATTCTATTTAACCATTTGCGGTTTAATTACGTTAAGGGAATAATAAAAGTTAAAATTTGTGGACGAGACTCATCCGGAAACTAAGTCCGAATAAGTAAGCATACAGTTTTTGGTTGGATTTGTGAGCTTTGCGCGCTTAATGAACAAGCAAAAAGCAGAAACTTGGCAGCGGATTAAGAGCTTGAAATTAAAAAAAAATATTTACGCTGAAAAACAAATTAACTAAAAATCTGCTCATTTGAATTCCAGGCGCAGAGCTAAAAATGCAAAAAGTAATTAATATTCTTGTGTTCGTGTGTCCATGGCAGGGTGGACCGAATTACCAAGGATCCCGCAGGACTATGTGGTGAGTGGAGCGCTGGACTGCATTTTCATAATTCCAGGACAACAGCGAACAAAACGTTGGGGAGAGCCATCCAGCCAGCCAGCCAGCCAGCCAGCCAGCCAGCCAGCCCGAAAGGAGCGAAACGAAGCGCAGTAAATTCCGACGCACTGGAATTTATGCAGCAAATATTAACTTACCACACACATACACAAACACACACATATATATACACATCCGAGCGAGTCCTGTCGCATAAATCCAAGTAAAGGAACGGAAAGGCAAGGACATAGAGCAGCCAAATGATCCCCAACCACCCGATTTGTGCTTGGCCAGCAAGAACTGACAACAAAACTCATTAGCAGAACCGGCGACCGTGACCGTCGCGCAAATGGGCGTGGCACTCCGCCCCATGGGCCACGCCCCTTCTCCTTCTGCCCCATCACTCTCCCCAACCAAGTGGGCGTTGGCCGCCGGTCAACCGCAGTCCGGGAAATCGGTGGAAAACTCCACTGAGTCCGAACTCAGAGACCCGCAGAAAAACGCAGCGTGCACTTCCGGTTTCGGGGCGAAAAGTTCTCGTTATTTTATTCATATTTTCACAGGCTGCACTTTATCTCACTGCGGCGGTCTTAGTTGGCGAAATTGTGTGCAACCACGAAAATCTAATAAGCGCGCAAATTTGTTGACATTGCGCAAATGTTTTTTACGGGCCTAGGAGGAGCAACTTTCGCCGGTCCAGTCCCCAGAAAACTGCCAGCTCCTTCGTTAAAGATGGCTGGTGGTCTGTTGGCCTTGGGCCTTAACCCATTTCGTCGCATTGCCAGATTCTTTTTTGCGGTTCTGGCCAAATGAAAAGTTGCTCTCTGCGCCAATTTTCAAATAATTACATCGGGTTGAAGGAGGGGAGTTCCAGGGGCAGAAAAGACACATTTATGACAATATATTTTATAATTGAATGCAAAAGAGAAGCTTTCCAATTTGCACATAATAATTCCGCATTCAAGAGGAGATTTAAAAGGAATACCTGACATGATAAAGATTAGTATATAAACTTACAATAATACTTAAGATATTTTAAAGAGAATCTTTCCAACTCAAATGGCTAAAAATATTTTTCGACATTTTTTAAGGTAAAAATAAAAATACTTTCACATTTTCTCTGCCATATGTTGATTTTCCCTTTGACCTAAAGGCAAATCAGTTAAGTTCTAAATGGGTTGAAAGAAACGGAGGAAAACCAGAGGCCAGACAAAAACCAAGTCCTGGAGATCGCCACAACCGCAAACAGAAACTTTCTCGAATTTTTTCCTACCTTTGACAAGTCGCGCGCGATGATGCGTAAACCTTTTGGCTTTTGCACTTTTACAAACAGGTGAGGTAGAGGAAAAACCAGTAATGATGAGGAGGAGACAAAAAGCAACTTTGCATCGGCTAGGGGATTTCCGGCCATAAAGACCTCCTATCGACCCGGATCGTCCGTCAGAGGCGGCGAGACAATTTCATTAACCGCTGCGCTCCGTTTAAAGGCCAAGACTTCGGCTCCTTTGATTTTTATCGGTTGACCTCGACACGAGGGTGTCCTGCTGTCCGGGTCTGTCTGACAGGATTAAATGCGAGAGCTGCCCGGGGACAGGGCGTAAAGTTTTTAATTATTTTTGTGGTTTGAAAATGCATCTCCCCCCCATCCCTTGTCTGTGGGTGCCTGTCAAGGCAAAGGACGTGAGCTTGGCGAGCTGCAGCCGGCAGGATAAAGGAGCAACCGCAAACACCCCGACTTTTATCAGCGCCTTGCCATTGTCGTGTGTTACCCACGTTGGGCTTACTGCATTCATTTAAAAGAAAAGTGCAATAACATGTTATTTTGCCCACGACAGGACTTTCGCCGTCTCTCCTTCAGTTCAGTCCCGGTGCAATTGTTAACGGTAAGCGGCTTTAAAACATTCTCTGCCTTATTACGTAATTACAAGCGGATGACAGGGGCGAAGGCATTCGCTGTATTGAATTATTCGAAATACGCGGATAATTGAAAACGCACAGCATGCAATAAGAATTCGGCAAGGGGCGAATCATCTGAAATCAATGAAAATATCAGTGATTTACGCACAGACATTTTTCTCTCATTATGGAAATTTATTTATCATACCCCACGTTTTGAATAAAAATCGTTTTCCCTGTCCTTTTGAAGGAAAACTATGCAAATGACAGGAAAATGGTCAAGCTTACACTGAATTAATGCGGATTCAGTGGATCATTTGCCAATGTGACTGATTGAAATGATATTGAAACTACCCAGTTAACATTATTTTAAAGTAAAACTTAACTTTTATTACGTTATCGAAACTTGATATATTCCATTTGCCTTTTGTGCATTGCCAAGGCTCAATTCTTATGCAAGTTCCCAAGAATTCCAGCTAATGGCATGGCTGAGACCAAGCCATGGATTTGGCCGTCTGAAAGGCAACAAGAAAGGAGGGCAGCTATTTTTCGAGGAAATATCCGCACAAATTTTCACAATTAATATGCACTTCCTGTGCAGACGACTTGCAACCATTTCTGAATGCAACATCAAGTGGTGGGTGCACGGGCGGGGATGCCATTCCTCAAGGAACCCCAAACTGCCGCGGAGTTCACATGTGAGTTCATTGCTGCCATTAATGAATACGTGTGCAGCAATAAAGCCATTTTTTATGGTTGAAAGTCACGTGAGAAACTATTTAGTACATCTACGAACGAGCCAGGTGGAAAGTGGGTGCAAAGTCGGTGCAACTTTGTGCCTGACACGGCCAGAAGAAAGGCAACTTTCTTTATTTTTCCGTACTATGAAGCCCCAAACGAATCACAGCAAAAAAGTGAAAATATTTCCTAGCCACTCACATGCATATTTATATGAGTGTGTGTGCTTTCCCAGAGCAAGAACCAAAAAGTAAGGCATTTACTGTGCTGGCTGAATTAATTTTTGGCATTTATCAACTAAGCAAATTGAAATCGTGTCGGTCGAGTCTGGCATTCCTAACCCAGTTTATTGTTGGGCTCCTCTTGATATGTGCACTCGAGTACTTTTTGTGTCCATGGGGCTTTGTTGGGAAGACCCGTCCGAAGGGCTTCATGTTGTTGCACAAGTAAATCAACGACTTTTTGATACTTCCTCAACTTTTTCTGGCACATCAGATAATTGATTTGCAAGTCGAGTGACTGGGGCGTTAATGAGTGACGCTTGCCAAAGTTTTTCAAATGTTTCAAGCACCCAAAATTGAAAAGGAAACGTGTTTCCTTCACAAAAACACAGGTACTTTCGATCAAACATTGAAGCTAGTCACTGTTAGTTTACTAAAGTGAATATTATTAAAGTTCAAATATATATATAGTACAACTACAATTTCGATATATGATTGCCCAGCTTAGTCACTTCTCCTACTCTTAAGAGGCGGAGAAAAAAGTATTTCAATCCACACTCAGACCGACACCCGACCATAAAAGTACCGAAACTTGTGCACTTTATGGATCTCTTACCGCAGAGAACTAGCATTACGACCTCGTGGGTGGGTGGGCGTTGTGGCAATGCACCCATTAGGCCGACCGGTAAATGAGCATTGAAGCAATTCATAAAACTGCCCAAACAAAAAGCCAATTTTATTCGCCCCAGGCACGCGTAAGTACCGGCTTTCCTTTCTTCTCCGTGGCGCCATTGTAATGGGTGGACTTAGTCCAGGGCCCTCATGGCCGGAGTCCAGAGTCCCGAGGTCCGGCGATGGTGAAAACGTGTTTACGCTTTTATTATGTAAAGAACCGGACAAGCAGC